GACAGAGTTCCATACACGAAGTTCATTTTACACCCTGTGTACAAACTCTCTGAGACTGGTCTGAAAAATTGTGTTTTCATTGAAAAAGCTTGTACTCCGTCGCTGCTAAAATGGACTTTCCTAACCTCTAACTGATTTCTGGGGACTAATGGATATCTGGAGGAAAATGAGTGAACTTCGTACATGGAACTCTTTCCAAACCATGAAGAACCATTGATGAAATCACAGGATTAAACTTCTTTTATTCCGGGTGTGCTACATTTATTCTTGTCTACAACAAGACTGATTGGAGATTGCGCCACATGAGTTTCCGCTCAGATTTCATGAAGGCCTTTGTAAGGATGCTAGCTGTTGTCCACGATGGCAGCATAAACCAAACAGAAGTCAAGAATTGCAAACAAACGCGTTTCTACCATTTCAGGGATCTTTGATGATGCGTGTAGTACTGACCTTTGTGATGCTAAGACACTTCCGCCCATGTACTTATTATAATCGCTGACGACGGCAGGTCATTGGATTGTACAACATCTGGTGGGACTTTTTTTGCCATAATTAGTCAGAACTGTTATACGTTTTTTTGTGTCCTACCAAACAATACATAGTTGCCCCGCTTAAGAGAAAAGGTGGAGTGGATCATGTCGGTTCATGGGCACCTTCTTAGGGTTTGCACTGTCTTTAATACCTTTTGTGGCATAGCGCACCGTTCTACTGTTGAGAGGTTTCGTCCGGGCTTATAGATGCTATGAAACAACGGAACTACAATGTCCAATAGCGGACGAACTTTAGACAGTTTGTCACGGGGAGAGTCGTCTGCTGTGTTGTCGGCAAGGTGGAGGAATCGAAAGAGTGCCGTAAATCAGTTGCGAGACATTGTCGACGGATCCAAATGACTTCGAAGAACTTCGCACCTGGACCAGTACATTGCATAGCTAGGCCTTTGGTTGATGCCCATCGAGAGCAGCAGTGCGACAAAGGCCATCATTTCAGGAACATCCGTTGGAATCCAAGTACACTGAGAGTTAGCGGATTCTGCAGATAGCGTCTGATCTGCATATCGGTTGGTCTCCCTCACCAGCAATTGCCAAACTGCTTCACAGAAGAAGAGTTGAAATACCTGTAAGGGTGACAGATGACTGAAATTCTGGGTACACCCAGTCGGTTCCGTAAAGTTCACAGGTAGTGGCTTTTGGTAAGTGGAGGTTGCTTGCCATCCAGTCCTGCATTATTGAAGAATAATATTAGGACTAATAAGAACAATATTTACAAAGTGTTTATACCAAACATCGAAGCACTGTACATGAAAAAACTAGGAGTTAGGTTGGTAGGTCTTATTCAGCTGTTCATTGAAGTGGTAATAGATGGGGCTTCCCTGATTAGGGTTGGACTGAAATGCCTGTTCACACACACTGCGTGTAAACTAAATCTTGATTCACTGCACGTTAGGTTGTATACACTCAAACTCTCAAAGCGGGGCGGCATTCTACCAAAGAAAGTGTGTTCTGTTTTCCGTAATTTCTGCTGGGAAACCAAAACAAGTTACTCTGCATTGAGACGGCACAGTACATTTCAGGGTTTAAAGAACTGGCACTTCTGGGGCCGAAAGGGTTAGGCAAAAGGAGATTCCATATGTTCGGTTTATCTCTAGAGGTGTTGTGTGGTTGTTTGTCTCTCTTCAGCACCAAACAGTAACACTACTTTTGCCTGGTACCCGTTCTCTCCTTTTACATGCGTTGTGAATTTACAAGTCGTAGGTGCCGTCATACCGCAGTATGTAGGAGTCATTTCTCAACCTTGTGGAATTGAACGCGACTTGTTTGATCCACAACTCTCAACATACAAAACTGCCAAGTTTTGATAAAAGTAGAAAGTTGTCGGTATTCTGAAACACAAATTTTCTTATCAATAAAGACGGCCGAGATTTGTACCAAGAATTATGCTTCTTGGTGAAATTTTAGCTTTTTTTGACATTTTTAAATATTATTGGACCCGACTTCATCCTTGAACAATTTTGTAAGTTCAGTGCAGCCGCTTGTTTGTGGATCATGGGCACAAAAAACTTCATTGCCGATGAGTTGATTGCGTGTAAAAGTTAGAATCTGAACTATTTCTTTGGACAGAAGGTTCTTGAGAACGCGAGATTTGAGAGGTAAAATTCAACATCCTCGAATTACAACTCTGCAACTCCTCTGGCGCCTTCGGTTGTATAAAGCCATCATACTAGTATAAACCACAGCTTTTCAAGTAAATCCTCGCAGTACCTCACGAGGAAGTCATTTCAGTTTGTGTCACTTCAAATTGTAAACATAAAACTCTTTCTGTGCAGGCATATCATGTGAAATTGTCACGGTTGGAAAATTGTGTAACTGCGATGTCGTTTAAATAGCACATTAGATTTGAGATTGAGGAGAATAATTAATGATTTTTAATATTTGCCGTTGACTGTAAAGAGCTGAAGCTTCATTTCAGATGTTGAATTTCACTTTAAATGATAGGGGAGATCATCCACATTAAAATGGGTTAATAACTGTTTGCGTAAATTAAATCTCCCTGAAGAATTTTGATCGATACCAAGTTTGGTAGCCTTGAAACATCATGCCCTTTCAAAATTGCGTACTACGTTTATGCTCTCAAATTTATTGCCATGAATACTCAGAATTGAGAGACACATTTTTCTGAATTCTTACATTTATTCACCAGGCACTATATTTAATCTTGATTGTTTTAATTGTTATATTTTAATAAATTCAAACTCAAATCGCAACATATTTCGTCCAATGAGTGTCCGAAGATACAAATACTGGTGGTTAATGAAAGATCCGAACAAGATAATGAAAAGTCGCACATGCATGCATCCACGTTATTCGGGAAAAGAACAGCTTATTTCAAATAAAGTGCATTGCAACCTACGAAGATGGGCGAAACAATAGGAGGATTAGCCTACTGCCCAAACTCTCTCGAGAGTTCATACACCCGTTCACGTATGTTCACTCCCACGCCCTTGTGCACCACTTAGTTGAGAGCAAGCGCATGCGTGCTCGATCACTTTACAGTTGATTTCAAGGCAGGCGACGTCGAACATCGTCCCGACATTTCTTTTCGCGGATGAAGATCATAATTTTTTTAACAAAACATAAACAACTAAAGTTCACGAAGATAACCTGATAACTTGAAATGGATTAGACAACATTGAACCACCGCATTATATGAACCCAGTTGCACAAAATTTGAAAAATTGTACAAAAATAAACACACTCAGATTGGAAAGAAAATACATCTATGGTCTTTTCCATTTTAGAACAACTTCTCCTGTTTATCCAAACAAACAAAATAAAGTGCTGTGTATTAATTAATGTCTAATAAAAACACCGGTAGTATTTTCAAGTTATTGCTAATTTAATATCTTGCACGAGAATCATTTTGTCTGTAGTAGTTACGTGCGTTGACGGAGTACATGTACAGTACATGAACTTGCACATGCGCACACGTAAACTATGGCCGACCGGTCGACGACAGAGAGCCAAAATGAAATTGATCAAACTAACAAAGGACAATTCGCTATAGCGTAAACATAACATGGTAACCTTTTTCAAACACTCTTTCAGTTATCAGGATATGCAGCATGTGTGGACCAACTGGGAAAAATTCAAATTTTCAAGTTTAAAATCACTTTTTTTCACGTTCAGAAATGTAACGTACACAGACATCTTTCACCAAATTTTCTCCCAAATGTCACTTTTGATTAACAAGAAACATCACAAAATTAAATCTGCAGCCTTATTATATTTCTTTGGTATAAATTCAGCAAACGTTTTCACAGTGTGGAAGATCTCCGCAGATAGATTCTAGTGTAGTCATTTGCTGGCTGGCGTCGCCATTTTAACAAGCAACAGAAAGTGACCTCGACTTTGCCGAATATTAGCGCATGCGCACGAACTAAGCGGAAGGGGTGAACGTACGTGCGTTACGCCTTGACGTGACGAGAGGCGACAGCGTACGCGAGACTGGCTCAGCAAAAGCAATTATTGCAAAAACCATATTCGACAGGCCCATCCCTTGCTGATTGACAAGACGAAGAGAAGGCCGTGTGTATCAGAACTCATTACAACCCACGCAGCGCCTTCATCCATCTACCCAAAGACTACCGACAGAAGCAATCACACCGATTTACATGTGTATCAAAACCAATAGTGGGTTTTCGACATTTAAATGGGGTCTCAATACTATCGCGTGTCTGTAATCAATCATCCGTGTGACGCACAAAGACAGCTAGAATTCGCAGAGTATATCCTGGATTTTGAAATATATATAGACTACGTCTTGATTATCGTAAGAGGATGTAGAATACCGCACTCGGTGTCATTTCGATCATTTCATGGGTGTCACACTTTAAATGTAGCCTATGCTGGAGATTAATAAAGCCAGATCACCATTTGATAGCGCCCAGACAAGAAGAAGAAAAACTAATGCAGAGGAGGTAAGAAGCGTAAAGGCGAAGTCGCAGGAAGGAGTCCCGCGAAGAATTATTGTGATCACTCGAGGCATTCACCTTCAACCTAATTCTCAGATAATATAATGGTAATGAAACGCTACCCCCCCTCTTTTTTTCATTAGCCAGTTCTGTTAATGTGTAACACATAGGACGTGTCATTAACTTGACAACCTGCATGTGATGGTAATGGCCGAAGCGAATTACACGATCTCGCACGGAGAGACGGAGAACTTACGTCGCCGCATTCATCAAGCTGTAGTAATCAAAAATCACTGACGGTTCTGCTGGTCATCTCATCAAATTATGCGATTTCAACTTCCTGTTTCTATTTATTGTCATCCGGAAGCCTCCACAGCTTTCCGTTTCTGCACGCTGTGAGCGGGGCATGGTTTAAAGTACCGTGTGCTTGGACGCTTGACAAAATGCTAATCTCTTTGGTAACCGGCTGCAACAATTAGCATTCCGGGAAAATTGTCAGCGCATGCGGTGCTTGTTTGATTTCGTCATTTAGCCATAATGGACGCGAAAGTTTGCTTGCTCCCTTAAACGACGCGAGATGACACGCTATACAACGCCCGAGATATGAAGCATATTGGGATCGGTTGCTGTGATCATCAGTTCGACTCGGCAGTGTTGTAATAAGCACTGCTCCCTCATACAAGTGTTGCAGTAACGTGGGCAGACGGAGACCAGACATGGAGGCTCCGGCGAGCATCATTGTCGGCTTAGTGTTGTACATCTCTATCATACTGTTCGGCATCCCAGGAAATTGCCTGATTCTCCGCGTGTACTGGGTAAAAAAACGCAAGAGTAGCACCCACATTTTGATCCTGGGCCTCGCCTGGGCCGACCTCTTCAGTTGCATCTTTCTGACTCTGAGAGTTGCGTCGGCTATCACTTATCTTCTCGGGGACAAACCTGGCACATTTTTAACATTTATGCATTTCCTTCTGCAGACAGCAGTGGCAACGTCAGTCACACTGACAGGAGTTATAGCATTTGACCGGTACGACTGTATCTGTCGTTCGCACAGGCGACTTTTGAGCCCCAAGTGGGCAAAAGTCGCCTTCGGTTGCTGTCTAATTTACGGTGCAAGTATAAATATTCCTTTTCTGGTAAACATATTCAGACCAGCAGAGTCGATAGAGGCATTGCTCTACGGTTTTCAGATTCTCTGTTATATTTCTGCCCTGGCGTTAATAGTATTCTGCTACTCGAAGGTTTATAGGACTATTCGGCGTCATGTTCAAGTTGGCGTTTGGTCATCAATATCGACAGACGGGACCAGGCCAGAGCTGCATAACGATTCGATGAATTCCGCAAGAGCTGTCACGCCTGATTGTAGAGGTGTGGAAATGAAATCCGTTTCACATGCCGTGGCCAACAACCCCGGGGTCTCGAATCTGTGGAAACCGTCGGCTCCGGCGGCTTGTGACAGTTCTGTTACAGGGCCCGGAACAGCTCGGCAGCGGAGTGAACTTGCCAGTTACACCGAAGGACCATCGGATTACCCCCGTCGAACTCACCGGACACCGACTGCTGGCTCCGGGCGTGACAGGCGTCGGCCGAACCGGAGACCACGCCTAGGCGGCGCGTCCTCCTTGCAAAGCAAGACGACCCGGATGCTCCTCGTGACAAGCGTCGTGTTCTTGATCGTATGGCTGCCATACTGGATCTGGACCATTTTGGAACTCTGGAATACGTACAGCGTGTGGAAAGTGCATGATAATGTCGTGCAAGCGCTCTCTCGCATGAACACCTGTCTGTACCTAAATAACGCAATCAATCCTATTCTGTACGGACTTGCCAATCGTCGCTTCAGACAAGATTGCAGGGACAGTTTAAGAAAAATCTTATAGGCTCTACCAGTGGACAAGAAGAACATTTTCAAGTACTTATTCGGCTCATCTCTTCTTTTGGCGATACAGTCTTTACTCCAATGAGGCTTAAAGTATGCGTTCAAAGAACATAGTCTTTTTTCGATTTTAGCACCAAAACAACTGTTCGTATAAAATATCGGTGTATCTAGCAGTCACCATATTATAAGCTTTTAGGTATTTCAAGTGGCTAAAAGAATATTCTAAACTACATGTATGTTTTTCTAGGGTACAATTTTGATAGGCCTTAAAACATGGGGAAATGTTGCTTGTTGGAAGGAGGGTAATAAATGGCGGCAGTATGTTGTAATAGAGACGAGTAGGCCTACGCTGTGTTAACATTTTCGAGTGGAAAGATGCGGCTTTTGAACCAAAGTATGATTTGGATTCTCACCCTATAATGTCTTTTATTCTCCATTGCTTCATATTTATGAACTCGTTAACTTTTATAGGTATTAAAAACTTATTTTCATGAAAAAATGAATGATTATTTAAATATTAATTCAAGTATTTACACTGTTTGCAATCACTTTTCAAACTCTCTAAGGATATAAATGATGTTGCGTGACCAACAATGATGTTCAGCTCTTATTGTTCCATTCAGCCAAAAATAATAACCTCACGTTTCAAAATTATGTCCAGACGGAAACCGTTCTTTGAAGCACGGAGCATGGGGAAACTCGGCTCAGGTACTTTTAATATGATGAGGTTGGCTGAACAGTGAGAAAAAAAGAGCGAGATTACTCCCGCCATTGCGTGCAAAGTCTTCCTCTCCAGTGGCTTTCAATCTATTTCTAAATTAATTAGAACCCAACAGCTCCACACAAAGACAAGTATTAGTCAAGTAGCTCATGGTTGTTGAATTTCAATAACTAATGCGCTTTTAAGCCCGAGTTAGTTAACTCTAGGGGAAGCGGCTGACATCATGAGGGTCATTGATGAATGCATTAATCTACAGAGGTAGGACGATGAAAGTTATGACAAACATAACGCCAAACGGTGAACACAATGCAATTGACAGAAACGATACTAAGATAAATAAGGTAAGGGGACGCCCTCCTGTACGTTTCATAAATTTCGAGCACCTGGAAATTTCTGAAATTATTTATAACTGATACTATATTCTCAGCGTTTATTTTGAGAATTTACAAGACACTATGAAAATGGAAGTCCTGTCCAGGCCTAATTTTGTGCGATATCAATTATTGTTAATTTATAAATTGGCACGCACCTCTTTCGACGGGATAAAATTTCGCTTTAGAAATGCTTTTAATAGGGCCTGTCACTAAGATTCCTCTTAATACATTTCTCTCGGGGACATGATTGACAAAGCCTGAGTGATGCATTAGGATTCCTAACTTTACCTTTTCGTCCGGCACATTAGCTTTTTCTGCTGCCTAATATGTAACTCTTTTTTTTTATAAAAACGAGTTGATCAAACGTGACAAATGCAGTAGCAGACCAAGGATGCTCGACGGTACCTTGGGGTTATGGACATCATTAAAATACAAATGTAGACTGGTCAGCCCTGTGCGACTTGGTGGTCGAGTTCGGGCGGTCCGCTCTTGACACGGGTTTCGTGTTCTCGCGCTTGAACGGCGGGAACACGACCCAAGAACACCGTTCTCGGAACAGGATCACACACCACCTCCTCGTCAGGATTTCACACGAACACACGGAAAAACTCGGGATATTTGATTTTTGAACAGCCACAAAAAGTACCGATATGGCTTTAAAAAGCCGAAGACAATGGAAAGTTTTGCAAAATTAACATCAATACTTTTCCAGGACAGAAGTGATTTTTTAAATGGAAAAAAGTAAGCCCAGTTACCCAACATTAACTCTCGAAGAATGCACAAGCCCCCCCCCAACGAAAATCTCGTTCTGGATCCGTCTTTGTCTAGCTAATAAGCGTGGTAGCTCATTTTAACTTGTTGACAATTATTTGTGTTACGTGGTCCACAGTTACTGTCACTCCGGCAGGTCACAATGAGATTACTTGCTTTTTCCATCACTTGTTGTTCAAGAAACCGCCATATTCTTCATATTTTGTGTTTTGCAAGGACTTTTAAATGTGATCTGCACCAAGCCAATGCATTGCCTTAAAGACAAATCGTTTGTTTCCACACGATTGTTAATTTCCTCACGAATGAAATTTCTGAAATTGTATTAATTTTTCGATGAGAGAAAGTAATGTGACGCGACAGAGGACGCTAGGCGATGGCGCAGGATAAAACTATAGATGGCGTAGGTTATTGGACAATGGTAATCACTGCTTGGTTACATATAACGAGGCTATATAACGCGAGTAGGGCCTGTGTTGCAGCAGAATCTAGGTAAGACTTGATATGCCTCGTAGTGGTGTAGCCTGCCGTTTCATTGACGGGCTTGTAGGTTGAGGGGCTTGGTAGGTTGAGGGGCCATTTGGTGGTACGGTAAGAGTTCCTTGTGGAAGCTTAGGTCTGCGGTCGATTAAAAGGGTGGATCGCCCTATAATCTTATTCAGGTCCCGGTGGCATTGGATGCTCACAAGTAGTTGTGGGACTCACCACTCCGGGTGAAGTCTAGTAACACAGTCCTCCCTTTAGCAGCGCCCTGAACATTAAGGAAACTACCATGTTGTTGTACATAAGTCAGGCATCCAAGGGTTTAAGTCACGTATTGTTTTAATTACGTCACGAAGCACCAGGCCAATCACGTCAGACCTCCTGGTGCCCAACACAGTCAACGGAGTTTCCAGACCAGGACGGTACAATTCCATCCTAACGGATGCGTCTCCAGCTGCTCAGGGACCCTCTGATTTGTGCCTTCCGACGCCACACTCTGAGGGGGAGGGTGTCCTCGTCCAGAACGCTGCCGCCGGAGATCTAGAGGCGTGACGTCACAGTAACATCGTCTGATCTGACAATGGTTTACCCCATATTTCAAGTACGTGTTTTGTGTTAATAACAAAGGTCGGTCATCACATTTGCACGCCGCACTTACACAAAAATGGAGCACAACAAAATGCCGCATATTATTGTCCTTCTGGTATAACACGTCTGAATTGAAGTAACAAATGATGAATTCGATCACAATTACGCCTAGTTTATTGTACGATATTTTGGAGAGAAAACGTGAAAACAATTGATAAAAACCCTAATTGGCGAAAAGAAAATCAAACTACTTATTTTATTCAGCCAAGCGCCCATGACAACGCCACAATGGGGTCGTACTGCGCTCTACGAGGTATCTAAACAGAGCAATGTCGTTACTACAGTAACTTGTCTCTCGAGCTCGTGCCCGGTTCCTTGCAGTCATGAATTATAATAATTGCATTCACGGGGACTCACCACGAGTCAGAGGATCGCGCTACGCCAAAAGTTGGCTACATCTTGGCGGGAATTGGTGGCCTGTGCTGTCTGAAGATTGGGGGTAGTGAACAGTTTTTAGCCGACTGTTCGTTCCGATAATTTGTGTCCACCGTTGAAAAGACTTCTTTAAATGACAAGAGATCAACTCTTTTCCGAATCTGGGCCAATGGCATTGTAAATCTTGAGTTTGGGTGTAATGTTTTACAGTTCACTTAGAGCCTTACTTTACTAGTTTTGTAGTGAATATTACTGCAAAGTAAATATTTGGGACAGATCTTGCAACTCGGTGAGTTGTAAGAGGAAAATTGCAAATGAAAATCGGCTGTATCTGATCTGAATACTACTGCATCTTCTCTAATTACAGGGGGACATGCTATCGTCAGGGCATTGACCCTCCCTGGTTTATTTTGTTTTCATCGTTGCCGTAGATGTGCCTGGTAACTGTCTCATCCTCCGGGTTTACTGGAGCATATCGCACAAGTCAACCACCAACATACTTATCATGGGACTCGCCTTAGCTGACCTGATTGTCGGTCTAGAACGGCCTTACGATATCGTCTGGTACTCTTTTCAACTGACCGGGGTAAATGTGCCAATCTGTTCAATCAGCTGGGCAGTTTGTACCAAACTACCATCGTAACTTCCATCCTTATAACAACGATGATTGCAGCGGACTGCTACGACTGCGTGTGCCGCTCCAGCCGGCTCGTCCTGACGCCTAGACGATCTAAGTGAGCTCTGATGGTTGCCCTTCCTTTATCCGTGACGGTGAATATCCCTTTAACACTATTGTGGAAATGGAAGGCAAGTCTTCGCTACCCCTGCGTTGTGTCAAGTACGGGCTGGATATCGCTGTCTTTGTTGCTGTTTTCTTTAACCATTTTAGATTGTTACAGCCTGGTCTTTTTAAGTACGTAATAAACACGTTAAAACTGGACTGGCGTCTGTAGACAATTCTCATCAGGGAACGGCCCAGGTTTCTTTAGCCATTTCAGCTGGGTCTGCCTTCGTGTTAATGAGCGATGGCAGTCTCACTCGGCCGTCTTCCAAGCATCGATCCAGAGCAAGCCCGTTCGCAGCAGCGCAGGTCAAACAACCGTGATATGGCTCGAAGCAGCGGTATGAGGTCGATACCTGCGCTATAGATGAGCATCGACAGGCTAGGAACGAGCAACGGCGGGTGGTTGAGGCGCCAAGACTGCAGCGACGAACCACTACCATGCTCTTCGTCACTAGCGTGGTGTTTCTGTTGTCCTGGGTGCCCTACTGGGCTAATCTTACGCGTGCCATATTCGGCGTGCATTTTGATTTCCTCCGCTGTTTTCTCAGCCTTCTATGTCTAAATCATGCCATCAATCCATTCATCTACGGCCTGGCCAACAAACGGTTTCGGCAAGACTGCAGAGATTCCCTCGATAAGATGAAATGATAGCGGAACAATTCAGAAATCGATCTTATTTTATACATACATTGTAGAACGATGCTGCTGAATATTCTCAATAGATTGAGCCCAATTATGTAATTGGCTGCTTGGTGTGCACGTTAAATACTGCCTTTTTCCTAGATTTCCTCATTCAAAGCTGTATAAAAGTGTAAAAACGTATATAAATGTAGTTTTTTTGTACAGATAATAAAATCTACTTCTGCCGTTTGATCCCCGGAGAATTATCCTCATTCACAACTACCATCTTTACTTCCACTTACACTTAATTTCGATAAATTCCCCTCCCCCGTAAGGCCAATTTAAAAGTTTGCAAGCATTGACTAAATTGCCCTAGATAAAAGTGTGCAGCACAAGGGAGTCGAGGGTATTTTTGGGTTTTTTTACAACCACTGGGGGTTACGTTTTCAAACTTGAAATTCATGTTAAACTATTCATCATTAGTACATCTGTGAATCTTCAACCTTTATTACAGGTTTGAAGACGTTAATGAGAAAAGTTCTTTTAATTATGGTTTTTACTTTTTCATTTTGTAATATTTATATCTTGCATTCTTATCCACTCTTACTAGTTTTATTATATTGTAATTCATGTACAATTTGGCCGATTGGCCACGACACATGAATCAAATAAATCAATAATAATAATAATTTTTTTCTAACCTATTTCCGAAAAAATCGCTAGACAAATCAAGCATTTCGAAGATATTGGTGAAAATGTCCTGAGTGGATCTTGCCCTGACTCCCAGAAATTAAGCTCAGTTTACAAAATCTCATTTTTCATCCTGGGGGGCCACATATATTGGCTTTTAGTAAAATGTCCCTACAGTAATGGCCATTAATTTTAAGCCTGGTTTCCATATGAAAGTAACAGACGCCGACAGCACGCAAGGTGTCATGACGCAAATAGTCGTGGAAGAGACAGTGCGTGATCTCATTCTAGCATCTAAAAAATAAAAAAACACGTCTGGAACTCGGAAAATGTTCGCAAAAAATACCTTTTCGAAATGTTGATACTGCCTCTTGAAGCCAAACTGATACTCCAGTTTTCGGCATTTTGTTTACGATCAGCAATTGTGTTGACAATTGGGTTGTCAAACGTTAGTAATATGATAAGGAAATGTTGGTTGGCTGACTGAGTTCTTCTAAGTGAGCGAGACAACACTGTACACCCATCATGCCAGCGTGCATGTTTGTATAGGCCTGCTCTGACTGCGCATCTTCGAAACCTGATCAGCGATGCTTTCTGAGTCTCTTTAAGTAGACATGGACGCAGCTTTCATCAGGAGGCTCTTGCCATTTGAAATAAAATCTTTCCCTTCTATTTTTGATTGTGTTTAACTACTGTTAAGACCAGGGGTCAATTTCATAGAGCTGCTTAAGCACAAAATTTGCTTTTAAGCGCGAGAAAACCTTACTTGATAAATGAGATAACCAGACCAAACTCCATGTAATGTATATTGTTGTAGGATTGTATTTAGCTGTTTTTTGGTTAGCATTACAATCAGATAGAGTTTGAGCTGATAACCTTTGTTTTTTAAGCAAAGTTTTTTCACACTTAAGCAAATTTTATGCTTAAGCAGCTCTTTGAAATTGGCCCCAGAACTGTATTATTTTGTAACAAGCCCCGTCTGTAAAGAGAGAAACAAAAGATTAAAATGCCAAAGTAAGTGTCACTTGATACGTATATAATTGTCCTACCATTTCTAGCCAGTTAATGTCTAAACCTATTCAAAGTATAAAGCGAATGCTGTGTGCCCTGATCAGGTGTATCCCAGATTTGATTGATTCAATTATTTTGAACAGCGCATGGTCGTCGTAAAAATATCAAAACTAATTGATGTTTCGTGCCAAGAAAAAGCCACGGTTGTGGATAAAGTTTATGTGATTAAATCAATTTGTCTTTGCATCAAATGTACTTTCGTTGTCAGTGGAAACGTGACCGTGCTTTAATTACGTTGAAAAACGACACCAGAAGAAGCAACAGTGAAGACTACATGGGTTTAAAAGCCAATAACAATTTAGCACATTTTATTAAAGAAACAGTAGACCTCACAGGAAGCAATTTTTGATCACGTTCCTCAAATCTGCTCTTAATAAACTGTGAGCTGTCGAATGGAATGGTTCTAGACTTTTTCATGTTTGGCGTGCGTCCAAAAACACCCCTCTTATGTTTTTGTTTTCAAAGTCATACTTAAACACTCTGAAATGTTTATTTACTAATTTAGACCGGTATTATTTTGTAATAAAAAAGTTCATCTGCACTTGCTTTGATTTTCACTCAAGCTTCCCAACTGAGGTGGTAACCTCGCTTTTATTTCAATAATGAACGCCAAATGAACAAATTTTATTACCATTCCAGTGTGGACTTAATATACAACTTGTGAATGCAGCTTAGAGAAGTTGCTGACTTACTGATGGGTATTAAAAAACTCTCTTGCTTTTTATAATTACGCCAAGTATAGGGTCTGTTTAAACATGGACTGGGGCTACAAGCCCCAAGCTGGACCAAGAGATGGCACAATTTCCTAACAACTGCACTTTGTTTGTTCACAAATGACTATGAAACGTACGTGTTACTGTCACATCGCTACCAACAAAATGTGCACTCCCGACCAACATGGCTCTTTTCAACCGATGAGGGGGTGCTTCTGCTTGAGGTGGATAACATGTTATACGCATTAATCATTCGCCTTGCATGCAGAGGTTTTAAAGCACTCTTGGATGAAACAAATTTTGATTCAAATGAAACAAATACTAAGAGTGTTCAGATATAATTTGATAACATGGAAAAGTTAAACATTGCTTAGAAAAAGGAGACATCAAATTATTTCGACGTGCCTGTCAAGATCTTCAGTGCGTTATTGGTCTACGTAAGGAACGTTTGTGAAATAATGGACCACAGAAGTATACAGGAGATGTCTTTTTTCTGCAGATGCGACAGATAATTATGATGTTGAATACAGATAACTAACTGGTGGTACTACTTCAATAACTGAACACCTATACAAAGATCTTTTTGAAGTAACACCAACCAGTCAAGTGCCAACTCCCTCTAGAGGGCCGTGTAACATTTTAGACTTTATTACAGAGAACCAGGACATCAGTCAAACGTACGCGTCCGTTTACGTTTTTGATAGTCTTAGGGGAAAAGTCCAAATTATTCATATACTTGTTACTCTTAGCAACGAACATCAATCGTGTTTGACATATCCAACTCAGAAATTCAATAATCAATTTTATCATTTCCTTCATATGCACCATACACCTGTGTCACAACTTTATGTGACAGTGTGATTTCGCCAATACATACTGAGGAATAATTCATGAATGGAGCTGTGTTTTACAAAGTCCGAACATTTTTCAGCATAGCCCACGTTTCAACAGTTAACCTGATCTGACTAACATTGAAGATGATCATAACGTTTACAATGAGTTTGATGCTGTAAAAAATAGAAGGGCAAGCATTCCTCTAGCAAAACTCCTTGACCTGAAACTTTATCTTGAAAGACATTTTTTGAAGAATTGAAACACGGTCTTTACTTGCCTAGAAAAATCACTGTAAGGGGAAAATTAACGTTTTACGACATATATATCTATCAAATTTGTTTTTGATAAACATAGTTATTTCCACAAGAGAACTGTCTATTATAACATCCTATAATTTCCGTTTCCAGAGGCAATTATAGAATAATATATAGCATAATTATGTCAACATATCTGCATGCGAGTGGCACTTGTGCGCGATTGTTTTTCGCCCACTTTGCGCATCTGCAACTGTGACGTACTTCACAAACTTCTTTGAAGGGTACTTGTGAACGGTCAACTTTAATAAGAGATTTGTACGGAGCTTGCTGATCGGACCTTAGGTGAATATCAAATAAGCTGTGAAAATTCCATCATGGAGCTTAGGAACCTTAAGGTTTTGGTGGTAATTTTACAAAGAATTCTTACCACTGAGCCGTTTATGATAAAAAAATGAAAACCGAATGTTTAATATTTGTCTTTTCGAGTCAAACGCTCAACTCATCAATAAAAGATGAAAAACCAACACCTTTCGCCTCACATTTCCGCAATCGATTCAAAACTTTTGCAACTGAAAAAAAAATCCATTTCCCAGAATATAAAAAGGATAATGGCCTGTGTGCTTAATAAAGGCCCGTGAAGACTGAATGTATAAAAAGACACAACTAATTTACAGGATGTATGATGAAGCATGCGCGGAGATCACGTTCCACACTGTAAATTATCAACACGATATTTTTGTTCCTAATAAACCAAAACTCTTCTACTTATGAGCTTTTAGGCTGGCTGGCAAATTGATTTAAATGCATCGCTCTCAGCGAGCCATCTCTCTTATCTGAGCGAGCCGTCTGCTTCTAGTTCTATACTGGGATTCTGACCAAAATGCTCGTACTACCTTACATCAGGCAAGATACCTTTTTGCTGCATGGAAAACTGAAAGAATTTGATTTAAAGAATAACTCTTATTGCTGTCAAAATGTGATACTGTGGCAAACTTATCAAGAATCGTCGGGTGACCCAACACGTCAACATTAACTTGAAGTCGATCGTGTAGTAGCGTACAGACCACCTCTGTCATTTTTAGCTAAGTCTGGTACTCCTCCTACACCCAAAAAGATCAACTGGTGCCGGAATGAATTCCACACAAACCTCCAGAGTACGGTGCATCGTCAGTGATAATGGTGCCCAGGTGAGTGAAGTCGCCGCCCATTTGGCCTACTCTGTGCTCGTGTTTGGCCTAGGCGTGTCGGGCAACTGCCTCATACTCTGCGTGTACTGGGGCAAAATCCGAAAGTCGACTACCGATGCTCTTATAAAGGCACTCGCCCTCGTCGATTTCATGGTATGCGTCCACCACCTGGTCTATGTGGTAGTGTGGTCCGTGTGTCTGGCCGGTGCGACAGTGTCAGGCCTCTGGATAAGCACCTTCGACTACGTGAACCGCGTATGGATTGGCACGAGTGTGCTCATCACGGGCTTGATTGCACTGGATCGCTATGACTCTGTTTGTCGTCCCCAACGCCGCTGGATGACAACCTCACGGACTAAGAAAGCTGTGGTGTGTGCCTTCATCACTGCGGCAGCCGGGCATGTCCCCATATACATCATCGAGGTAGTGGTTGGCGACACAGCTTCGTGGGGACCACATACGTTATCGTACGCGCTAAAGTACATGTACAGGTTCGTCGTATTTGTTACTGTAGTTGTAATAATATTAGTGTGTTACGCACAAGTGTTCTTGGCCATACGGCGACACGTAAGAGTTGCGCCATTGGCGGCATCGGAAAACACCGAGTCCACACAACGACAACCCTCGGTTATGACGAAGCAGACGCCGCTTTCAAATCATCACGTGCCTCAAATCGGCAACACGGATTTGGTTTCCAACCAAGAAACCGCTGCGGGTAGCACCGATGGTGTGGCCATCCCGAAGCCGGCACGCTGGCGGGAAACTGAGATCGCAGAAAAAGGACCGAAAGGGTCGGGCAACTGTCCGGGCGCTTCGGCAGCAGTGAGAGAGTGCCGTGCAGCGGTTCCAAGATCCCATCGGCTGTTCTTCTGCAAGAGATGCTACTTGTCACCCCTACAGAGGAAGACGACCGCCATGCTATTCGTCACCAGCGTAGTGTTTGTCCTGTCCTGGCTACCGTACTGGATCACCGCGGTGTGCTGCTTCTTCGACGTGAAGCTGGCCATAGCGGAAGTATCCACAGAACTCTTCTATATCAATAACGTCGCCAATCCGGTCATTTATGGCGTCGCCAACCGACGGTTTAGGGAAGAGAGTAAACAGGTCCTACGTCGGGTGAGACGATGCTGGTCCAACGCTTGAAGCTACGAGAGAGCCTTTCTGTAGGTACGGATAGGTTGCTAAGCGTGGATCTTGCTTAAAGTAAAAGAAAAGTCAATGTTCATTTGCCTGTCAACAGCAAATTGGTTCCGTGTCAATTTTAATTGCGAACTGATCAAGGGAACAACAGGAACCAAGAAAGGACTGAGCCCGTCTGGTCGATGCTATCCTTGGAGAACATTTACGGAGAACACTGAGCCGGTTCTGTCGCAGGCATATACGCTGAGATCTGAGGCGGTCTGTCTTAGGCCCCTTCCGGTGAAAACTGAGCCGGTCTGTTACAGGCTATCCGCAGGGAGAACTGAGCCGGTCTGTCACAGGCTATCCGCAGGGAGAACGGAGCCGGTCTGTCACAGGCTATCCGCAGGGAGAACGGAGCCGGTCTGTCACAGGCCATAGGCCTACGCTGAGAATCGAGGTGGTCTGTGCAGGCCTCGTGCGCTGAGTACTGCGGCGGTTTGTCCCAAGTGGTGAAAAATGATCTCACTGATCTGTCCCAGGCCATCTACGGCGAAAATTCAGCCAGTCTGCCGCAGGCACATCGAATGAGACCACCGGACAGGGAAAAGCTATCTCACTTCCTCTAACTGTCTTGACTTGCCATTCCATGGTTTTGACACTCTCTTCAGTTAGCTTGTTAATCACAGACTGGCCTGACCATAACAAGACATTCCTGACGGGAAGCACAAACTCAAAACTCGACCTCTGCATTCCTCCGTATATTTCGCATTGTTTAATGTGGTTTGCATTAATTTTGCTGTAGCGTATAGCATGATAGGCTTAACCCAAAGCATACAGGCCACCTTGTGTCTGAAAGGTTATCATAAATGTTCACAGAGGAGGTAAGGCTTGATAATCGGGAGGCAAACAAATATTTTTGTCTGAAAAGGAAGACTCTGTCGCCCACAGTTATCTTTATCTTTATTTGTTTTTGAATAACGTTACAAAATAGACTATCAGCTTTTGCTGTACGCTGTAAATGCTGTATGAAAGGGGGAAATCATCATTGTAACGCATTGATTTTGTTCACGACACAAACTGCATTAATCAGTGTATAATCTAGCTGCAAAGACAACTGGATGGCCTTATTTTGCCCAGTATGTAGCTAAACATTACGTCTCTTGAATGACTGACATTAAGCGAGGTTTCATTTAACTTGCTTACTCCGCGCTTTTTAACACTGAATGAATTACATTTTGCATTTTAGGATAAACGCAGTACTGCGTAGGCGGACTTTAAGAACAAAAGAATAGTTACATATTCACAAATAAGAATTGTAAATTCCACTATATTCATGTTGCTGTATATTAAATGTTGCTTACTGCATGTTTAATCACACCGGAACACATTTAATTTCAAACAGAAGTAAGTCTCGTTTCATGCCATTTCACTGAGTGAAAGGAAATTTTAAACGGCATTTTACGACATACAGTGGAAACAGCTCAATAATGTATTCGAGTTGGAAGTTTTGTCATTTGATACAGATATTTCATAATGAAGTTATAATACTGTTTTCCTTAAGCTCTGCAGCGACAAGAGCGTCAGCGCATCAAGCGTTTGGTCGCTCCCCCTCGGTCGTATCGACCCACGGGATCCAGTAACCCCCGTGCTGAGCTGGGTTTGCCTTTGGGTCCGGTTTTTTGTTTCGTGCTGGTACCATGCTCGTCTTGTACTCATTCAGCCGCTTTGTCATCGACGCTACGATATCTGACATTGGAAAAGTTGAACGAGAAAAACATAATCCAAGCAGAAGTTAAATTCTTTCACAGAAAGGAAACAGCCTCCTGAGGGTTTGTGTGAGGCCAACTGCTTGCTTTCCTCTCTGTATTTGTGAACTTTGATGCCATGCCGAATCGGATATAGTATGCGGCTACGGATCGCTTCAGCCGTAACCTCGCGATTGTGGGCAACCGTAGCCGTATAGACAGTGATGCTCGTGTTTGGACACTGCCTGACAACGATAACGTATTGAAAGGTTTTATGAGAAGTGTATTGACGTCGATGGAAACTATCTACTTATAGAAATACACTGGCACGGGTACCTTGATTCCAGGCGGCGATATTGTAGAACTCGCAAGGGTCGTTGGTGATATTGTAGAGACAGGTTGCCTCGGTTGGTTTGCAGTTCGTTGACGCGTTACTAGGCTTGGTGAGGCAGTTTACAACGTCTGCCCCGGCTGGCGGGGGAGGTGGCTTGTAGTCTGTGCCCAAGAAGAACATTATATACGTTTTAGACCACCTGAGAATTATTTATGTGTGCCGAAATATTCATTACATTACCGTTGGCGTTGAGGTACATAATTTGGCTGACATGTTGGAATCATTGCCAGGGGGAAGTTTATTTTTAAAACTCAGTTTTGTTCACTAGTGGCTTCGAACCAGCCAGGCGACTCAAGCAAGCACAGTTATTAATAGCATGAGACGTCTTTTCTGGCTAGAGGTGTTGTTCGAATGCCACACAATTTTTTCTGTTAATGGTAAAATAGTTCTTTTACAAATTAAACCAAAAAATGAAACGACATTGCGTAACTGCAAAATCTCAGCAGCAGAAAATGACTCGGGACTCTAAGCATGTCAAAAGAATAAAGCCACAGATTTTATACCACCCCTGACATGAAAATCTCAGTATGTGATATAGTCAATTCCATCCACTATACTAATTCAGTTGAAGTGTGATCCATTTTCCAGAAACTTTAAACTTAGAACCCGTCAGTATCGGTGCGTTGGCAGCAATCGCTAGGTTCGATCAGTAACCATTTCTCAACCACTGTCTAGTCCATTTGTCTGGTAACCTGCATGAAATACGTCCTGGATATCAGGCAAAATTGACCAGTGGTTATGGAAAACAGTCGCTGATTGCATCAGTGCCCCACTTACGCGGCGGGAGTCCTTCAGGCTCGTACCAGCCGGACCATTTGCCGCCCTCTATGTCGCCGTTGATAATTTTCATGTCGCCCATTCGCAAAGCGGATACCTTGGATTGTGTATTGATGTTCAGCAGGATCTCCGATCGAGGAGAGGCCCTGCCCCTAAGTTGTTGGTCAAAACAAAGAGAGAATCATTTAATGCTAGAACAAACAAACAAACAGACAACCCTACAATCCAACAAACAAAAAACCCAGTGGGCAGCTCCATGTGAATATGGTTAGGTTCCACTTCGTAAACACCTTGAAATTCGTATGTAAACTTTATATTGAGGACTATCAGAGATTTTTAAAATATTTTTCTACCGGATAATAATCAAATGAAGTTTGCAGTACATTGTCATTATTTTCACTGATTTACAACTAGTAAGTACTTGTTGTTACGATTCAGTCCAGGAAAAGGACACATCTGGTCCAAAAGCTTGGCTCCATCATTCTCACATCCGTAAAGTGCTGTACGCAGTTACCTTTTCTTTGTACAATTTACAATAATACCCTTCAAAAATGAAATAACATTGAGCACTTCTAGCTCCACGAATGAAAAGCCCCTTTTTTACATACTCTGATAAAGTTGGCCATACGTCGAAGCCGTCAATGTTTTTCAGAGCTCTAGCGTCCCCGCCCGCCAATCCGTAGATTGTCGGCAGCCAATCGCAAACGTGCAGTAGGTCACGTGATATGCGTCCCGGTTTCTTAAGTAAATTACTGTGCACAAACGCTACCCCGACACCAGGAAAAAGAACACAAATTGATTACAATTCTCTTTGTCCCTCAATGTTGAAAATGTCAAGGCAGACACGAATTAACCAGAGGACATACATGACACAGATAATTATTAACGAGGAAATAAATCTCTAACTGCGTCGTCCCGGTTAATAATTTATTCCCATGAAGACCTTAATCTAGCTCCAAATTTTCTTCATGAGGCCCCTCTCTTGCTTGGGTATTGGTGAACATGTACAAAAACTGTTCCTTTTTTTCTTTTGACTTTTACTTCACTTGTGTTGTTTATTCAAACTGGAGTCATTTTGGTTTAAATTCAAACTTTACAACTGTAAGAGGAAGACTTCAATCAGGTACATGTTCTTATTATAAAAAGCATGAACCTTCCTCTTGTGGGTCCTTGACGACCGTATACCCCTGGCACTATAGTTGGTTTAATTTTGTTCCCTCATAGGAATATTCATTGAGTGTGGTAAAATAATCGGCCAACTTCTTGCTACCCTCAACCCCCCCAGGAAATTACACCTCTCAGAGGTCCGGTTTGGTCTCCACTATGAGCTAACCACAAGTATTGACCATACATTCCCTCAATATTAAGAAATTACTGAATGCATTCAATCGGCTCCCGACACCCTCTTCCCAGAGAACCACTTTAACCCTCCTCGGGAGGTAGTTATTACCTCCACTGCACTTACCTGAGCCCCTGACACCCCCCTCCCACAGAGACAGCTTGGTTCCTCTCAGGGGATAGTTGTTGGCGTGATTGAAGTCAAAACCATGGGCGGGGCCGCCGTTGTCGGTGGAGAAAATGATAACAGAGTTGTTGAAGAGGCCTGCCTGCTTCAAAGCTCGAGTCACATTGCCAACCGATTCATCCATTACAGCAACCATGGCTAAAAGGGAAGAAAGATTTACTGAAAAAGTTTTTCTATTTGTGATAAAGATAAAACCTATGTTCAGGTTTTAAATTAGCGTCATTTTATATGATATTTAAAACAATCGTAGGCATAGGGATTACACTATACGTAGACTATATAGTACCATTTAAGCTGTTTAATTTCCCGTGCTGCTTCTTAATATTTAAATGTTAATTTAAACCACTCAAAAATAAACGAACTGGAATATTTTTTTCTGAACATGGTCAAAACATTAAAAAAGACTATCCGCCTTTTTCGAGCACTTCAAATCTCACGAGTCTGACTATAAAGTAATCGTAAATCAGTTGCCAAACCAAGTTGCTCAATTTTTTCTTCACCAACTTTTTCCTAAAGAACGTAAGCTCTCTCCTTCTGCTCCGGCTCTTTTTTCCGTTGGTAGGCCTATTCTGGCTTGATCATCTTAACATCTCTTGTCAAAGTCTGGACATTTTTAGAATCCCTATACCCCGTACCTGCAAACATCCTACGGTTCTCATCGGTAATATTGGGGAAGCGATCGTAGTATTCCTTCGGCGCCTGTAAGGCGTGTTCCCGGTCATTGGCGCTATGTACGGCTTGGTGAGCAAAATATAAAAACAAGGGCTGTTGGTTGGAAATGGAGAAGGGGAGTCAGTTCAATCATTATGGCTGGCCATCAATGCAAAATCCAAGGAGAAATTCACAAAAATGTTAAAGAACTCTTACATTGCTAGTGTATGCACAAAAAAACAAGAACTAAATGAAAATTCATGCACCTTGGTGTGTAACACTAAGGAATTAACCATGCACTTTAAGGCGAAACCTTTGACCCACCAAGCGTGAACTTTTGGTAATAAAATGCAAAATGGTAGGTAACAACAAAAAAGGTCTATGAGGGACCACGCACTGATTGCCTTATATTCCAAGTGCAACCCTTTTCCTGGATCCATTTAGGCAAATCTGTCATTTCAGATGCTTAAGTCGGGAAATCAGGCCATACTCATCCTGCGTTGTAACATACACACCCGACTCGACCACCCACTTACAGTGAAATACCAACATTCGGAACGAGGCAGTCATACAATATCGTATTATGTAATATGGGTATGACGCTTATAAAATAGGCTCAAGTCGACCACATGTTGAAATGGGTATGTTTTTTCTCAAATAAAACAATCTGCAGGGCTAAAATTTCGTTTCAGAAATTAACCTTTCAAATTCTATTTTTTAAACAAGAAACAGACTGAAAATACAGAAGAGATGAAAAATACACCCTCTAGGATTCAAACGACGGACATCATCCTTAAAACCAATCCTGTCCCTAACCCACTACAATACGCAGGTGAACATGACCAGACTCCTTTTTTCTTTTAACATGACCACGACTCATCATGACAATGCTGTTAAGGTATTACGTAATTCTGGTGCCTATTATAATGTGTTACCGGCACACTTCGTACAGAGGCATTTTGTTTTAATAGCCTCGTTTAATAGCGGTGGGTAGTCGGATCGGGTGACATCATTACTGTAACGCTCCAGCGTACCGTGTTTATTATGAACTACTCAATCTCTATTACATTCACAGGGTGGCCGGAGGTGTGGTTTCTGCTGAGTCAGCTAGCCTACATGTTAATAAGAGGGATTAGGTAACTAACTAAACTGAGATGATTGCACCACAAAGTTGTAATAAGAGTGTGAAGTTTGCAAAACCTTAACTACAGTGAAACAGGCACAAAAGGAATTTTGTTCTATAAAAGGGGTTGGATTTTAGGTTTTAGGTACATATGATGCAAAATGCATGCATTTAGAATAACATCTGGGAAGTAATGAAAGGTAAGTGTCTAAAAGATTATCTATTATATAAGGTATACATGAATTATCATTGTTATAGTCATTATGAAAAGAGTTAAAACTGAAGTAAAACTGGAATAAATAGGCTAAATGCGAATTTTAAAAAACACACAAATACGATAGAAATTTAAAATACAATAGTTATATAATAAAAAATACATACGTGAATAAGTAAATAAATTATAAAATATAAAAATAAGTCATATGAAAATATAAAAAATATTATGAAATAAAAATAAATAGAAGGAATATGTACAAACATGATCAACACATTGAAATATCAGTGAAATGAAAAGGGTGTTCTACTTCAAATGAAAATCTGTAATTGCCACCGAAAATGAAACAGAAAATATGGGCGCCGTAAATCAAAACTTTTGGAGAAAACATTAACCTATAGAACGTCTAAGTGCTGAACTATTAAGAGCGTTTCTTTAAGCTGTAATAATTCAGTGTCAACTGTGATTTCTGTATGTGTCTATTAGGTAAGTTTTTTTAGGATGTACAGTTGACGGAACGTACAAATAATTATTGTAAATACGTAGAAAGAATGTGCAGTCAACTGAAGGTTCTTGAAAAAAATCGACACACATTTCGAAATTTGTGTCCTTGTGGAGACATTGCTTTATTCACTTTTCTGAACAAAGTGGACGCCCCAAGAGCGGTTAAACTAATGTTCTTGCAGTATATCTCCAAGTACCAGTTACTTATTTTCTTATTCACTTACCTTCGATTTGTCATGCGCAGAAATGACTTCTTCAGCGCGCTGGGTAAAAAGCTCAGTCGAATACTGTCCGTAGACAGACTTAAACACAGAACCATTCATGTGAAAGTCGATACCACTGTAAATCTGACAATGAACGAGGGGAATAATTATTTTTACAAATCTGCAGATTTTCAGCAAGGATGTGAGATACTAATTTACACTTACGTAAACCATTGCAGTTTTCTCATTATAGGCCTGTTGTACAAATTTAATTTCTGGATGACAGGACATAAAATAACGAGTAATTAAACTTACTATCAAAAATGAGAACATTTTTTTTCTAATACCTCTGTGTCGAAGTGGGTCCAATAGTCCCCTTTACCGTTGTAGTAGCCGAAGGTCGTATCGAATCCCCGATGAGACGGGGTGTATGCCTCTTCAAAGAAGCCCAAATGCCACTGAACAAACCGGCCAAACATTTCCAACAATAATCATTAATTTGATCCACATGACTGATGCTCTAAGCTTTGAGAAAAAACCTTCTGCTGAATTTAATTGTTTTTTATGACAATGAATGAATTGTTATTCATTCTTCACCCATTGTAACATTGTTTTGTTTGGTTGGTCCTCCTTAGAGGCCCTTCATCAAAATTTTCTTTTCACACTGCAAAAACTGTGTTTAGTGATCAAAAACTCTTACAACCACCTTTTCCCAAACAGTTTATACACTTTGATGCTAAACGTGTTTATAGTTACGATGGATAGTATTTTTTAGCCAATGCAAATAAGGGATTGGACATCGAATGTTTCGTATCTATATGTATTGACAAAGTGATAGCAAGATTTTGTTCTATTCCCAAACACAGTTTTTGAGTGTATTCTTTGAGAAGGCTATCCACGTGCCGAAATAAATATGTAAATGAATATGCAAAGAATCTTGTGTACTGGTCGGTAATATTTCAGCCTCACAGGTTTTGCTGTGTGATGCTCTTATACAAGGAGACAGTACTGAAGTAAATCAGTTTCTTCTAAAAGCTTCTGTGTTCACGAAAACGAAACTAACGCCCATATAAGGTTACCTTTATTGACACAGAGACAAAAGAAGCATTTCGTACTGCAAAATGATTACTCAAGTTACACCCAAGATGGAAGGACCAGCCTGTAATCTAAACGATCAACTTCCTTAAATCTCTTTGATATTTTATTTCTAGAAGTTTATTTTCTATGTCCGTTGCATCTTTAAGGGTCATTTACCCACCTTCCCGACCATGTGGGTGCGATATCCCCGCTGTTTCAACAACTGAGGCAGAATTGTCTCGTCAAGTGACAGTCCCCAAGGTTGTGGCCCAAGGATAACAGAGCTCCACATACCTAGGTTACAAGAAATATGTATGGCACAAGTGAAGGAGTAGTTTGGACATGGGGGCAGCATATATCCCATCCTGAGGTGCGGTTAACCATGAAAACGAGTTTCAATATGATAAGAAATGTACGAAAGGTTGTAGTGCCATCAACGTAATTTGGGATTGAGATTGTTTGTATGATATATGTATTTTTTCCAAGCCATACATCTTCAAGTTTGGTTTATATCTCATAAACACGAACTTATATAAATATATCTTTTCCAAAAGTATTTGCATATTTCATATGTACGAACTGGAGAATATTATCTTGAACAAACGAATTTTGGCAAACAGGGCAGTTTTAACGTTGGAAAAAAAGGTCCACCAAACAAGTTGAGTAACCAATTTTGATCCACTGGTTACCGGTTATCGCCAGAGATCAATTTTGTTGTTTAATGCAAATGAAAATTCCAGGGCCAATGTAAGAAACGGACTGTAGGTCTTACCTGTGTGAATTGGGTATTTCCCCGTCATAAGAGCGCTTCGAGTCGGCGTGCAGATGGGCAAGACGTAGTAATTGGACAGCAACACGCCACTGTAGGCCAACTCATCCAGATGCGGGGTTGGGATCTGGTAGGAGCCGTGAAAACTGACATCATTCCAGCCCTGAAGGAAAAAAAACAAACCCGAATATTATTCAAGCTAAGATGAACAACCTTGCGATAGAGCAAGGCTTTGCTGATCCGGCAAAAGTTCACAGGGTATGAACAACATGTATTTTTGTGTGTGCAAGAACATATAAAACACCAACAATCCATAAGAATCGCTCTCGAAGTCTTCGAATTCTCGACGGGTATGTCGCCTGTCCCTACCTTCCAAGCTGAAACTTGGTGGATTTTCGTTTATGTCGCGGTTAATATGCACTTCGAGCGGTAGGCGATGCTTACCAAATCATCTGCAAGGATGAAGATGATGTGGGGCGGTGTCTGGTTCTTAGAGGAATCTGTCTCATTCTTGTCGGCTTTTGAAGAGACGCGATGCACAGCTACGATTGCCAGAGTTGTAAGAAGAAGGGTGCTTGTTGAAGAAAACATCGCGGAGGTGAAGTGTTCAAAATCAGCTTGCTGGCACTTGATGCAATGTTTAGAGCACGTCCTAAGCAAATGCACACTATACAAATGTTCAGGTTAGATTGACCCAAAATTCAGGTTTTATTTGGCCTACATCCGTACTGAATTTCTTATTCGTCAAAAAGTAACCCTGAGAGAGTCGATGTGGCCAAAAGGGGTCATGTTTACCCAAAATTACCCCAAAGTGTGTCATATTTATCTTGAAAAGTCTCATTTTGACATACCCATAGAAAAAAAGCCAAAAAGAACCTGTATTCTTCTTGGTTAATCCAACCTGAAGATTTTTTTATTGTTAGCAGTGACAAACGAACAAATACTCAAAAGTACTGAGGGCTGATTTTGTTTCATTGTGCAAGTTGAACAGCGATACATGCAGGGGCAAATTAATTCATTAAAGTTGGTTGAGAATGATGTGGAATGACCGTTGCTTTCGACAGTTCGAATTCGTGATACAAACTTAATTTCTTCAGGACCTTGTAACCCTGGTCGGGCATCCCGATTAACCCCAGATCGTTTGTCGGGAAGTGAACGTCGGAACGGAAGAAATCGAACACGCTGTATGTAGCACACCAGTCATGACCCGACTTGACCTCGCGTATTATTAAGTCATGGTGATTGCGCGCTTCTCGGCTTCCCTTGTGCCTTCACTCGTGACGCGTATAATGGACAATGGAGCGTGGTATATTTTGTCGATGATTCCGCCATCGGCCAACTGCATTTTCTAAATTAAAGCTGAATTCAGGTTTATGCAGGAATGGCCGCCATTGCGCAGAGTGATTGGACAATGCAATCATGCAGTTGAGCCGATCGATTCATAGGCCTAATGGGCCCTTTTGGTCCAAAATTATAAAGCACCGACTCGGAAGGTGTACACTACTTACAATTGAACTTCGACAGGCCAGTGCTGTTCGATATACTCGACTGGGGTAATTCACGGCCTGCGATATAGGCCTGGTCACAAGTTCTGTCCTTCGTGAGTGACAATATACAGTATGTCTTCTCGTTGTCGCGGTCATGAGGCTGGTTCCATGATAGTAGTTTCCATACATGAATGCCCTCGATCAGGTACACAACCACAGTGAAGCACTGATGACATCTGCAAACAATAAACTGTCAAAGTTCTGATGGATTTGACATAGAAATATGATCTGGGTTCCATAAATATAGTGCACGTGATTGTGTGCAAGGTAGGAATGCCTAGTTGTGATACGCACGGTGATCAGGTCAAACTACATGTGTGAAATTGGTCTGATTGCGCCCGCTAAATCACGTGACCTGGTATCAACCCCCATGTATGTTTAGTGTTGTTTAAAAGCAATACAGCCAGGTTACGATATACTATCCAGCACATCAGTAGTTTGAGTACGGTACCTACCCAGCGTCGGCTTCATTTTTTGGTAAATGACACTTATGAAACACCTAGCTTTAGGTGGGTACCGTGTTTAATTTTTGGTGATATTTAATAACCACCATAGATCACGTGAATTAGCGAGCACAATCGGTCTATTACGTTTTCGCGCTTCATCAAAGCGCGACTACTAGACTGTGTTCGATTTGACATAGTCATGTTAATGTTTGCGTTAACTTGGGCATTGCCGTCTCAAACACCTCAAGTCGATCTCCTCCGTGTAAACAGGACAGAACCGAGTAAAGATCGGTTTAAATTGCACGAGGGCGCTGCTCAAGCCATGACTGAAATTAGACGTGCACTAGTAAAGTGACTTGGATTTATCGTGACCGTTTTGAACCAATTTGAAAACTTTTTCCTTAAAAACACTGACCTATAAATAACATTTTGTGAACCACATGTCTACATACTTTATAATATTCGTGAACTTGAGAGTCGAACCTGACGAGAAATGGGAGACGCTTGAAACTTTTTAATTTATATAAGAACTACCAGGAAGATGACTTTTCATGTTGTCTACTTGTTGAAGAGCGCCCTCACCGATGAACCGCGTCCGACCATCTTAGGTCGAGTTCGGGCGGCCTGTTCTTGACACTGGTTTCTTGATCTCGCGCTCGAACGGCGGGAATATGACTCAAAAACACTCTTCTCGGAACAGGATCACACACCACCTCCTCAGGGTTTTACAGGAACACACGGAGAAACTCGTGAGATTTTGATTTTTGAACAGCTGTAAAAAGTAGAGCGATGGCTTCCAAAGCCATAGACAATGGGAATTTTTGCAAAATTACCCTTAATCATTTTCCATAACACAGAAATGAATGTTCCTGTTTATATAGAAGAGAATTCAACCCATCCAAACATTAACTCTCGAAAAACGTAGCCTACATAAACGCCGCCATGTTACATGTTGCTTGTCACTAACTACCAGCGATAACCAGTTGTTTGTTCCCGGCGTTCGAGGAGCCGACCCACGAACAACAAATCGAGCTGTTCGTGAACATACGGAAACAAGCCGCCCAAACTCGGCCTTAAATGCCACTTGTCGATTTTGGTCTTCCGCATAGAGTTGTGTTTAATAAGGGTGATTCACAATAGCACGCCTCCAAGAGTGTGAAATCTGTCTACCCTTTCCAAACGTGCATGGGGGTCGACAGATTTAGCGATTATCAATGCAGCCAACGTTGCAAACTCTGGAAGGCGTGCTATTGTGAAACCCTGCATTAATAGCGCGCTAATTCGTCATTCTACTTGCAGTGAATTTGTAACAATTCCGGATACAGACATTGGGAATTTGTGCCCATATTTGTAGTGCTTAATACAATAAGGTGGAAGGAATTCCCTATTGAGTAACTTTAAATGCAACGCACAAGTACAACATTTGTAAGCAAAAAAAAAATAACAGCCCATAAATCTGTCACTAATAATCTATAGTGTCTATATATAGTGCATATACGCATGCGCTTACGTAACCTTTACCAAACAAATATTATAAGCTTTCATTTACTGATTTTGGGTTTAGGTTTTTAGCGTATTGGCTTTGTTGACACTTAAGAATACAAAAGCAGATATGCGAATAGCAGTAAAGCCGAACAAGATTTTAAGTTTCCCAGTCTGTGTATAATCATAGGTGCGCGGTGCAGGGTTCATTTTACACAGTGAGTAAGCCTGATATCAATTATAAAGACCATGCCAAGGTTGATTGCTATTTCCCCGCCGTATTGTGGCACTTTGTTTAGCAGAAATCAGGCATTCAAACTACCTCAAATGCCACAGGTTGAAGTCTCATGATTGACTACTACCCATGTAATTTCGGTGGTTGAGATTGAAAAGGCCCTGAAATAGTGTCAGCTATAGTCCTGCACTGCTTTTTGGTGCACTCAGAGCGACGCATGTCCTGCTACATCCGCCAAGACACGTGCGTGTGTACACGCGTTCAAATCCAACTTAATGTTGCTTTATGCAGAAATTGCAGATGAAAAAGTGGACACGATCATCATGAGCCGGTCTGAGATGCTTGCCTTTGAAATATTTGTATTCTCTTTTCCAGTGACACTTATCCTCAGTTTCCTCAATAACCAGATTATTTCAACACCTTTTGCAAAATAAAAACATATTCGAAGTGCAGGTGATCACGTCCGCGAGGGAGAAATCTTGTGTCAGTTCATCCACAGATACAAGACTGTTATTTTTTTTCTGCTGCCTGGTCACGACAGTGTGAGTGCCGAATACGTCATTGCTTATTTAACCACCGGCTCGTGAGTACTCTTTCCAGCCCCAGTGAGTGTCCCTTCCTGAGCAACTGGACCCGTTATATAGCTACACTGCTGACGCGATTGAAGTGCACGATCTACACTACTCCGTATTGTGTGCTACAAAGCCTCATAAACTGTGGAACAATGGCTGTCGGAACGCTTCGAGAAAAACAAGTGCAACCTCAGCTTTGAAAACAAACCCGCGAACTGCACTTGGGAAATTGTATCGGCAGACCCTTACCTTATCCTTTTCTGCATGTCGAAACGCAAGACGACTTTCTTGGGAATATTCGTTGACGTGAGGCCGATGTTCAGTTATTGGATTACATAGCTGTCATGAGCAGAATTACTCCCCAGCGAAAGTCCATGTTTGGTACAGGGTTAGGCCTACGGGTGGGTATTTTTTTATTCACCCTTAACGTTTTTTGCAATCAACGGCAATTATTGAAATTTAATACAGGCGTTTGCGTCAGTGCAAAGGTTCACTGACACAGCTGATTTGTTTTGGAAGGATTGGATGTTTGAAAAAAGTTCAGAGATCAGCATCAAGTCTCAGCTGTAGGTTCAGCTGCTTCGAGGCAAAAAGAATCTCTGCGCAATATTTCAAAGCTACCCTTTGAGTGAGCGTGACAAACGTCCGCTGGTTCTTGCACAGTTTCCTGTCCGGACAGATCTCGATAGGTGTCTAGTAATTTTGTGGGCAATCAACCTGTCTCGTCCACGTGTTTTAACTCTTAAAAATAGCTCACAGCATGTAAGCCAAGCTTGATTACCGACAGTTAGTCAACCATTGGTCGAATGTACCTGGAATGTACCTCGTGCACTATTACCAGGGAGAATAGACCAATGGTCGACGAATGGTCGCTGATCGAACGTGGTCATAAGTATCATTAGTTTGTTTCCAAAGTCACAACAGTCATCGTTGCCTTGTTGAGTCAAGACAGAAAGGGGTAAATAACAATTAATTGGCAACAATTTCTTGAGTGGCAGGTAATGGCAGATCCGAACCAATTTTAAGGTGTGCCAAAACTTTTATTGAGATGGGCTATCGGTTTATTTGAGAATTATTTTGTGTAATTTTGCCGGTCTTTTGTATTTATGGGGCTTAATTGGGGCTGTTTTGCTACTGGATCAACATTTTCCTTCAGCTGTAATCAGAATATCCAAAACTGCTTCCTTTTGCAGGGCGGTGTATTATTAATTCACGCCTCCGTATCTGCTAATGTAGACAAGCAATGTCTAAGCTTTCACAAATTATTCAAAAGCGCACAAGAGAAAATGAGAAATGCCTACAGCTACCTCCGTCTACGCACAATCTTAGGACGTGCGTGGGACGTGAGGTCGCAGGTGGAGTTTCGAGACGTCTTTGACTATGCAGTCATTTTCAACCCGACTTCTGGACTTTATAATGTACAGCAGTAAGAATGCGGGATCTTGTGGAGATCAATCAATAGTCCCTTTCACACACTTGTCCAAATGTTATGTTTCGCCGGTGCGTACGCAATGCACGTCAAATTTTAATTGGGCAAACTCCATTTCTTGTTTAAAATGGAAAATATCTCTTTATTGAATCGGGACTCTTTCCCAATCACGACGGAAGCAAAAGCAATCGTCCAAGTCGTCTACAGTGTCTTGGGACTCTTAGTCGGCGTGGCAGGCAACGGACTCATCGTGGGCGTGTACTGGACCAAGCAACGTCGGACGAGCACGACGGTGCTGATCGTGGGCCTTGCCTGGAACGACCTCCTCATTAGCGTGTTGCGAGTACGAAGTATCGGTGTCTTTTCCGCGGTTCTTGCCGGCTCAGAAGCCTCGCCAGTCTTCTCCCACCTCCAGCTCATTGAAGCTATTTTTCAAGGGTCGGCCATTTTGATCACAAGTGCAATTGCCGTGGACCGCTTCAACTGCGTGTTCCGACAGCATAAATGGCGTCAACTAAACACCCGGCGTGCAAGGACAATTGTCGGGTGTTCATACCTTGCCCCGACTGTCCTAAGCATCATTCCAATAATGCAGCGCATTTATCGCCGCCAGGCCCTTTTAGTTGTGGTTTTGGGACTCCAAGTAGCTTGGTATATGATTGCACTCTTGTCCACGATCGCGTGCTACGGGAGTATTTTCTGTCATTTTCGCCAACGTTCACCAACTGTTGCCCCAACAGTTGGTGAGGAAAAACCTCAACTCAACAGGTTTGCTGGCATGCGATCCAAGAAACCGAAAGGGCAAGACCAAGCGTCTGCAGGTCCCTCTGCGATACCCATCACACCTGTCAGAAGGGACCTAGTTGAGGACAGCTCTTCAGGCCCAGTTGCCGCCTCAGCTAGTATTGCCGCGACTAAAGTGAAGCCACAAAATGCTCCGAAAATCGCTGTGATCAAGCCAGACTTCCCCGGAGGCCGAAAGATGCACCCTACAGCTGTACCCCAGGCGGTACCGATCCGAGACCGATTCGGTCCACTAGCCAAGAGTGGCCCATCCAGTCCAGCAGCTCACGGTCCAGGCCAAGCCGAGGGGAGGATGATCACGATAATGCAGAGGAAAATCACCAGGATGATGT